AACCTCTAATTTCGCTCGGTGCCAAGAAGCCAACCAGCCAAAGAGCACCAAGGCTTGAGCTGAGAGTCTCTGTCCCACTGGGCTACACCCCAACCCTTTTAACTTTTAATTTTGAGACAGAGTCTCAGCAAGTTGCCCGGGCTTGCCTCACACTTGGGATCCTCCTGTCTCAGCCTCCTGAGTAGCTGGGATTCCTGGCATGTGCTGTCCTATCCAGCATAAGAGTTAGTTTTGTTTTGTTGTGCTTCTGAGCCCTGGCTGATCAGAGCAGAGCTCCTGCATCTGTCTCCTGAGCGCTGCGATTACATGCACATTGCTTCCTGCCACACTCTTTGTCCTGTTTTTAGCCAGTTTTTCAGAGGCATTTAGATTTTTGGTTGTTGAAGATGCTATTTCAGGAGTTTCAGTGCAAACCTGAATGTGGATCCAACATTTTACATTTGCGCTAACAAGGAAGGATGGAGGTAACCATAGGTTAGTGTCAGAAAATCAGCACCATCAGAAAATTTGCACACAGGAAGTAGTGAGCTGGAAGAACGAAGGTGGCAGATGGTTAAATGCTATGGTTTTTACATGATTATCTGGTCCATATTCCCAGCTTCTGGCAAAGCGGTTCCCTAAAACCTCTGCTTTAGGTCGGCCCATTTTCCTCTCTCTACTCTTACACATCGGCTCAACTTCTCAAATTGCTTCCCTAAAACTTTGCGGTCTGCCATTTCCATTTGACTAAATTGGTGAGTTTGTATCTCCAGAGCGGGGAGGTACTGCTCCCAGCCTGCACTTCTTGAGTTCTCCTGGGCTGAACCACCAGTCTGTCAGGGAAGAATGAGTATGATTCAGTCTCAGCCACTAGGGAGTTCCTAGCCCAACGGAGAATGAGATAAGCCCATAACGGCTGAATAAGGACAGTGATGAGATTATAAAATAAGTGAGTCAATTCAGGAGAGGGAATGACTGGCTCTTCAAAAGCAGCGGGGGTCAGGGGAGGCTTTAGAGAGGAGATGAAATCAAAGTTGGACTCTGATAGACAAAGTGCTCTCCCACCCAAATGTCCTGAGGACAAACGTCCATGGGCATTTAAGTCCATCTTTTCCTTTGGCCTTCACTACTTCAGGCTTCCTGGCTCACAGGCCTCCCGCCTCCCGGCCCCTCCTACCCCTCCATTTTCCCTTCCTTTTATGGGAATTTTTTGTGTTTAGCCCCTGGATTTAATTTAGTCAGATCAGACCATAGTCAAATTTCTGTACATTTGCCCGGAGGCTTTCAACTAATGGGTGTATTCTTTACAGGCCAAAAACAGATGAAGAAAGCCAGCTTTCTGTCCCCATCTCTGCCTCGTTGCATTGTCCTCTTTTCCCACAGAACAATTCTTTCTTCTTTAAATTGCTTAACCATTTCTTGTTTTTCCATTGATTTTTTTTTTTTTTCTCCCGGCTTACGGCAATGAACTGGGAAGACTTGATCATGATTCACAGACTTCCACAGGACTTTTCTAAAGCTTCACAGCTTGGGTAACTACGATGTGGATTGCCTGTAATAATCTATGCCCACAGAGTTCAGAGGAGGGCTCCCGTTTGACTGGCAAAGGCCTTTTCTACCTGCAGGAGCTCGGGCACATGGATGGGGGTACAGGCTGCTGCCCATGGAGGACTTCTTACTCCGTGAAGGGAGCCTCAAAAAATAAGAGGTTCGCGGATGCGGATAGCATCACTCATTTCTGGGCACTGGAGTTAATTTTGACTGGGCTCAATTAAGTGATAAATAGTGTGCTAGAACAGAACTGACCAAATCACCCTGAGGAAAATACATCGGAGGGCCTCCAAGCTGCTTGCTCCGCAATGAGCAGAGAGCCGCGCTGGAGCAAGGAGCCGCAGTGATTGACAGCAAGAAATCTCCCCAACTCCCAGGAAGCAGAGTGAGCCAGAGCCACACAGCGGAGGATACGGCCACTCCCGCGCTGCCCCAGGTGCGGTGCGGCTTGCTCCTTCCCGGACAGGCCTTCCCGGACAGGCCACAAGCCGTTTAGTCCCCAGGTCTGGGAGGGTGACTCCTCCAGGCCCCCACCCACCCCCAGGGAGGTTTCCTTCACCGCAGGCCCAGCCGGCCAGCCCTCTGAGGTCATTGCTCTCGCTGCCAGAGGATTGGCCCGAGTTCATATTTCCCATCTGTCTGAGATTTGTGGAAAACATGAGCGGAGCTCGACTCTAGATCCTGCCTAGCTCTGCTTTGCATTTGCATTTCCCTTGTTTGTTTGTTTGTTTCTCCTTCACCCCTCTGATCCCAGGCTTCTCTTTCTTTCCCTGGCTTTTTCCCAGGCTGGAATCTTGCCTGTTCACTAGCTCTGCCCTCCACACTGTGGAGCAGACAGAAGGCCAGGCGGGTCAGCAGGAAGGGATCAGCACTCAGACTGGTTCTGGGGACCCACCAGAAAGGGGACCCTTCTGCTGCCTCCCAGGAACATGGGGTGTTTGTTATTTCTATGTTCATTGCTGTCTTCCCCCACCCGGAATAACTTCCCTCTCTCCTCTCTTCCCTTCCCTCCACTGCTATCTCTTTCTTTGGAAGCATGTTACACCTGTCTACCTGTGCTCTTCTCTGATCTACTTCAGCACAGTGCAGGGCAGGCAGCTGCAGGTAACCTGAAATGCACACACTCCTCTGGCCCCAAGGCTAAACGTCCCTCAGACTCGAGCTTTGCATTCCAATTCCTTTCCCCCAAACCAGGCTGTTTTGATGGTCTGAACTCTTTAGGAAGAAGAGCAAATACAAAGACTTGGAAAGTCCTGGATCGGAGAAGGTTATCTATTTCAGGACATGAGGAAAAATGCCAATAGACAGAAAGGCAAGCAGAATGAACTTATCTCCCAGTTTTCTTTGGGCTTCTTACGACATTCTAAGATTCATAGTATAAACAGCCTAAACATAGCCACAGCCTAAACAAAGTCAAAGACAAAATAGGGCTGGCATTTCTTGTGGAGCGTTTCCACATTTAAGAGTTCTGAAGGTCTTGATTTTTTTTTATAACCTGAAGACAGTCTTTCTCTTAGATGAACCACATGTGGTATCTGTTTGCTTGAGTGTGAGAATAAATAGAATATTCCTGGGGGTAAAATCTAGAGTCTGAATGTGTGGGTCAAGAAAGGCAGGAGGGCTGGAGAGATGGCTCAGTGGTCTAAAGCACCTACTTAGAACAAGCTTAGCAAAAGCATCAGGGACCGCGGTTCAATCCCCCAGCACCACATGCCAGCCAGCCCTGCCCCCTGGTGGGCTGAGCTGGCCACACACTCTTTCTCTCTCTCTCTCTCTCTCTCTCTCTCTCTCTCTCTCTCAAATAAATAAATAAATAAAATTTAAAAAAAAAAAAAAAAGAAAGGCAGGAACTGGGAGTGTATCCCAGTGGTGGAATGCTTTCCCAACGTGTATGAGACTCTAGCACAGAAAAACACAAGAACAAAAGAAGGAAACAAAGAAAAGAAGACAAGAAACATGAATTTTTTGGTGTTAAAAGTGAAAGACAAAGGTCCAGTGAGATAGTTTAGTGGAGTAAAGCGCCTGTTTTGGCAAATGCAGAGACAAGGTTTCAATCCCTGGTCCTTCATGCTGTACGGCCCTGTCCCCGGGGCCTGCTGAGCCTGTGACCAAGTTTGGGAATTGCGACGCACACCTATAACCCCAGCACTGGCGAGGCTGAAAACAGGAAGATGGCTATAAGTGCAAGCTGCATAATAAGACCCTGTACCAAAATACATAAATGAAAAAAAAAAAAAGTGAAAGACAAGAGCCAGATGTGGAGGTCCATATCTTTAATGCTAACACCTAGGAAGCTGAGGCAGGAGGAGTTCTGAGAGTTTGAGGCCAGCCTGGCCTACATAGTGATGTCCAGGCCAGCCGAAACTTCATAGTGAGACTCTATCTCAAAAATAAACAAACAGCAGGGCATGGTGGTGTGTGCCTGTAATCCCAGCATTTGGAAGGTTGGGGCAAAGAGGGTCACTACAGGTTCAAGGCCAGGGCGGGCTAGAAAGGGAGTTAGTTCATGGCCAGCCTGAACTCTAAAAAAAAAAAAAAACAAAAAAACCGAGAAGAGCAAAAGAAACAAAGAAAAGACTGGCAGGTGTAACAGCATATCCCTGAAATCCCAGCACTCTGGAAGATTGAAGCAAGAGGACTGCAAATTTGAGCCCAAGCTGGGCAATTTAGAGACTTTGTCAGAGCCTATATCAAAAATTAAAAAAGAATTGGGATGTAATGAATAGATGGATTTGTTCTAATGGTGTTTGTAAATAGGATATCAAGTCTGCACCTTGTACAGCAATTAACCACTAGGAAGAATGTATGCAATGTGTTAATTATTGAAACTGTCCTACCAATTTGGTTTGAAACTGTCTCATTGCTATTTGTTTCTCAATAAAATTATGGGAAAAAATTTTAAAAATTAAAAAAAAAAAGAATTAGGATACTGTTCATTACAAAATCCCTGGCTTTAATCTCAGTACAGAAGAAATGGGGGAGGATAGAGCAAAAGCCAGAAATAGAAGATTCAGATGTGGAGGAAGGAGCCAGTCTGGGTGGCACACTCCACTTGAGAGGCTGAGGCAGGAGGATCCCCAGAAGTTCAACATTGGCCTGGGCTACCAAGTGAGACCCTGTCTTTAAAAAGGGGGAGAACAGTGAGAGTGGTGGCACACACCTGTAATCCCAAGGTCAGCCTGAGCTACAAATTGATTTCAAGCCCAGCCTGAACTAATAAGGAGACCTTGTTTCAATTAAAAAAAAAAAAAAAGAAAGAAAAGAAAAAGGCAGAGGTGGGGGAGAAAATCAGAAACCAAGTCTAGTGATGCCATAGATCACTTAGGTAAGAAGGACCTGCGATGGAAGAGACTGCTGGGCTAGCGAGTGTGGGAAGAGGCCGGTGTGGTCAGCCCTCTGCAGCGGGCGTGAGCGGCTCTGCATTCCAGCCCCTCCATCAGCCCCTGTAACTCTGCCTTCTGCGCGTCCGGCCTGGCTCCCTCTCCCAGTCTGTCTCAGTGCTGCCGAGTAGGCCAAGTCCAAGTCCTGCCCAGGGCGGGGCCGCTCCTCGCAGTCCCGGCCAGGGTGCAGCAGAGCGCGGAGGACTGCGGCGCAGGCAGCAGCACAGGACTCAGCAAAGTACAGGGCGCGGAGAGGGTGAGTCCTGACAGCAAGGTGAGTCCAGACAGACAGAGGGGGTGTGCGCGCATGTGCAGGCGTGGGGGTATGAGAGAGCTGCAGAGTGCTGGCCAGAGGCTGTCGTTCGCACCTTTACTCAGAACTGAGCAGACCCTTGCTCCTGTTATCCATGGGATTCAAAGGACAGAGACAGCAAGAGGAACAAGATACTGTGAAAAAGACACCCATACCTGAAGGGAAGATTAGACGTTAGGGCGGCAGAAGCCACCAGGCAGGGCCAAGAATGAACTCATAGAATACAAATGTCTCTCTGAAGACTTGGGGATGCTTTCATTGCAAAGGCGCTGGGTTTAGTCCTTGTGGGGGGGAGGGGGGGTTATGGGGATGGTGGAGCAAGAAAGGAAAATAGAGGATTCAGATGCGGAGGAAGGAGCCAGGCACCGTGGCACACACCACTCGGGAGACTGAGGCAGGAGGATCCCCACAGGTTCAACACTGGCCTGGGCTACCAAGTGAGAGCCTGTCTTTAACAAAGGGAAGAAGACTGGGTGTGGTGGCGTGCCTGTAATCCCAGCACTTGGGAGGCTGAAAATAGGAGATTCACTACAAGTCGGATCTACATAGTGACATCCTGTAGACCCTGTCCTAAATACAAAATAAATGAATAACATTAAAAATATAAAAAGGGGAGAATCTGAGTTTGATCCCTGGCACCAAAAATACATAAATTATTGAATAAAATGAAGAGAACCATGAGACAGTGAAGAAAAAGGTGTGTGTGGTGAGGGGAGAATACCAAGCATGGTGGCACACACCTGTAATCCCGACACTGCAGAGGCTGAGTCAGGAGGATCCCTGCAAGTTCAAGGCCAGCCTGGTGATAGTGCTTCCTGGAATCTCAGCTACTCAGGAGGCTGAGGCAGGAGCGTTGCTTGAGTCCAGGAGTTTGAGCAAACCTGAGAAACACAGCGAGACTCTGTCTCGAGAAACAAACAAAAAATTCCTTTGAGTTCACAGAAAAGAATGAGCATATGGGCAAGTGACAAAGGAATAAACTTGAGGAAGAAATAAATGTTGAATGAAATATAAGAAAGAGCGAGCCAGGGTTTGAGCCTTAAGGAGAAATCGCAAAGGCTCCAGGGAGGACAGAGACAGGGATCCCTGAGGGGCACACCCTGCCCCTAGGATCACACTCCGCCGTCCACTGTCTCCCTTAGATGCTGCTCTTGGGGTCCAAGGCGCTGCTGCTTCTCACTGCCCTCCTTGCCCCCTCTGGTGAGTCCACACATCTGTCCTCTTCTCCCAAAAGTGTCACCTCCTGGGTCACAAGCATGGGGGGCCGTGTTTAAGAAGGGTGCAGGAACTGAGCTTCGGGAGATGAAGAGAAATAGGCTTGGTGCTGAGCTCTAGAGTGGCTCCTAAGGAGAAGGAAGCCGGGTGTGGTGGCACACGCCTGTAATCCCAGCATTTGGGAGGTGGAGGCAGGAGGATCGTTGGCGAGTTGGAGACCAGCCTGGACTACAAAGTGAGCTCAAGGCCGGCCTGAGCTGCATCACGAAACACTGTCTCCAAAAGACAAAATAAATAAATACATTCCAAAGGAAAGTGGTGGGTGCATGCATATGCAGTGACAGCAAATACACAGGCAGGTGTGCTCACCCACACACCAGAAACACACGCCCCCTCATACAAAGGAAAAACCGTCCCAGATTTTAGCCTCTAGCTGGACGATTGGCCTCTAAGGGTCACCTTGGCCTCTGACAAATCCCTGCTGTGTTTTTTCCTTTTTCTGCTATGTGGAGACTCAGAAAGCAGTTTTTCTGCCTTGTTCGGTGGCAGACTCTGGGAAAGCTGGGGGCAGAGGACTGGGCCATGCTGGGAGTGGCTGGAGCCCTCTATGCCTCAGGCCCCGGGTAGCTGGGAGTGGGGTGGTGGGGCGTCCTGGTCAGGAAGGTGTCCACCAGTCGCCTGCTGCACAGCAGGACAGTACCAAGCACAGTAACCAGAGTTCATGGGAGGGACACCACCATGATAACGTACAGCTGATCTCTTTCATGTCCTGCTCTTCTAAGGGGGGTCACTGGGTCTGGAATGCAGGTCACTCACCCCCTTTCTTCCTTTGCCACAGGCTGGACACTCCCAGGCGTCAGCGGTCAGCGAGGAGGTGGGTGAAGCCTTGGTTATGGGCTGTGTTGGGGTTCTTTGCAGGTCAGTGTAGACAAACTGTATGAGCTGAAGAACCAGTGCAAGGATAGAGAGCCACGTTGCCCTGGTGGGAGAAGCAGGAGTGACGTCAGCAGTTTCCACAAGCCTGGCATCCCATTTGTGAAAAATCCTGTCTTGCCGTACTGGGGATGGAACCCAGGGCCTCCCACAGGCTAGGCAAGAACTCTGTCTCTGAGCTACATCCCAGCCCTTTGTAAAATAAAAATAACTTGAGGGTGCCAGGTGTGGTGGCATGCTCCTGTAATCCCAGCACTCCAAGAGGCAGGAGGACTGCGGGTTTCAGCCCGACATGAGAAATTTATCAGTTTAGCAAGAACATGTCTCATAATTAAGAAAAAAAAAAAAAAAAAAAAGGTGTGAGGACTGTGGCTCAGTGCGCATTCCTTTTTATTTCTATTTTGAGACAGTCTCGCTAAATCACCGAATTGCCCAAGCTGGGCTGGAACTTATGATCCTCCTGCCTCAACATCCAGAGTGCTAAGATTACAAGCAGAGGCCAATATGTTGAGCTCATTTTTAGCTTCTGTAGTGGGACTTGCTGCAAAAAGTACATGTTACATTGGGCCCTCTGGGCCTGGTGGTGCAGGACTTGGGAAGCTGAGGCAGGAGGATCACAAGTTCAAACCCAGCTTGGGCAGTGTAGTGACTTAGTGAAACTCCGCTTCAAAATAAAAAATAAAAAGGGGTGTGGCCCAGTGTGAACCCTGAAGTCTTGGGAAAAAAACCAAACAGACAGGATAAAAATGTAATACAAACTTGTTTTCTGTTCTTTGTTAAAACACCCTGACTTTGTGAACTTAGATAAGATTTTAGCACTAGAAATACTAGAAGTCTGAATTGATTTCTGCAGGTAGGCTAAGGACCAGTCCTGTTTTGTGAATTTAGAAAGCTTTTCTAGCAGAAATTGATTAGTTTATGATGAAAATGGCTTACGTTCCCTTTTCCCAGGCCGTCTAATTCCTCTCTCGTTGGTTGCTCCAGGGAGGGCAGGCTTATCTGGGATACGCGCAGAGAGGCGAGCTCCTCATTGAAACCCTGGCAGCTCTGCCGCGCTGTGCGGCGCTGGTCGCTGGGCTGGACCCAGGAAACTCTGAGGAGTAGTGAAGGGCCTGGGAGGGATTGCGGCTCGGTCTCCAAAATGATAAGGTCAGTGACTTCAGATACCCTACAACAGGACCGGAACCATCATGGATTCCTCTTAGCACAACTTGTTCTGGAAGAAAGCTCAGACCAAGTGTTCAGGATAAAGAGGTCGAGGGCTGGGACGTAGTGAGAGGCAGGGCGCTTAGCAATTGATCAGAGCAGATGTGTAACACGTGTGCCAGACCCTGGGTCCCACGGTCAGCTCCAAAAAGAAAAAAAAAAAAAAAAAAAAAAAAAAAAAAAAAAAAAAAAAAAAAAAAATCTATTCTGTCTGGAATTTAGGGAGGAAAGAAAAAGATGAGACTCTCAGGCAAGCAGAGGACACTGTAGAATGTTGTATTTGTAGCCTGCCTGTAATTACCCATAACTTTGATACTCTTTTATGGAAATGCTTATTCTCAGGAGATTTAAATCTGATTTGACACGCCAAAGAGTTAAAGCAAGCTCTGTGAATTTGCTGACCCCTAGTGGACAAAATAGATTATGACTATAAACTACTACAGTGAAGGTTAATTGTAAATGAGGTTTGTTTTGTTTTTGGTGTTTGTTTCTGTCTTTTTTTTTTTTTTTTTTTTAATGTATTTAGTACGGGGCTATGGATGTCACCACACAGATTAGACTCGTAGTGATCCTCCTGTTTACAGCCTCTCAAGTGCTGGGATTATAGATGCACACCACCACACCCACTCTCAGTCGAGTCTCAGCGCGCCCTGGGGGGGCGGGGCCAGCAGTGCTGGCGGTGGATCGAACCCCTGGCCCCCTGCCCTCTGCGTCCACCTAAGCAGGTGCTTTAATCTGCTGAGCTATTTGGCCGGCAGACAGGGTCTCACTATGCAGTTCAGACCTTGTCTCAACAGAAACAAAATGAAAAAATGTTATTTGAGAAGTAGATTGCAAGTATCTCAGGTGTGCGTTCTCTCTCTCATACACACAATATGTATACCTATGTGAGGAGATGGATATATTAATTTGATCGCTTGACTGTAGTAATCATGTCATTTCATGTATGAATTCCAAAACATGTTGTGCACCTTAAAACTATATATATGTACTTAAAACATATATATATATATATATATATATATAATATATATATATATATATATATACATATCACAGTAAAATGTTAGGCTGGAGGGTGGCTGAGTGCTCAGGAAATTGCCTAGCACACTCAGGGACCCGGTTTGATCTCCAGCATCACACATGGGCCTGCACACATACACACATACAAATAAAAATTAAAATAAATGTAAGCTTGAGGGGTTTTTTGGGTTTTTTTTTTGTGTGTGTGTGTGGAACCGGGGACTGAACTCAGGCCCTCGTGCTTGCCAGGGAAGCACTTATTCCACTGAGCCATTCCCCCTGGCCCCTAGCTTGAGATTTTTTTTTTTTTTTTTAATTTTATTTATGTGTGTGTGGCCAGCTCAGCCCACCAGGGGGCAGGGCTGGCTGGCATGTGGTGCTGGGGGATTGAACCGCGGTCCCTGTGCTTTTCTAAGCTTGTTCTAAGTAGGTGCTTTAGACCACTGAGCCATCTCACCAGCCCATCTTGAGATATTAATGTTGCTTTTTTGTTGTTTTGTTTTGTTTTTTTGAGATAGGGTCTCACATGTAGTTCAGGCTGGTCTAGACCTCACAGCAGTTCTCCTGCCTCAGCCCCCTGCTTGCAGTTGTGCACCACCATGCCTGGCTAAGGCTGCCTTGTTATTTAGCTTTTAGTATGACAGAAGTGGGCTGAGGATGTCGTTTGGTGGTAGAGAAAGTGCTCATTAATTATGTGCAGTATCCTAAGTTCCATTCTTAGCACCATATAGATAAACTTCAGTGTATTTGCTATAAGCAATTTTAATTTTATGGAATTTTATGTAAGTAGTATGGTTATGTTATGTAAGTATTACAATTGTTTTATGTAAGTATAGTTTTTATGCAGGTATTGCACTGCTTATCAGCCATTGTAATTATTGCAGGCAGACCAGGAAAAATAGGTGCAGGATCTGCTGGGCACTGTCCCAGACATTTGCCTTTTGAGAAGTGCAGGCAGGCGTGCAGGGGCCAGGGGATTCTCAGAAAATGCCTTCTGATTTCTTTTCAGATGATGTGACTGAAGAAACATTCACAGATGATCCTAGTAAGCCGCCTCTTTGGTTTGTTTATTTCCTGTATAGTGGAGACAGGAGGGCAGAGCGAAAGAAAATGAGGGGG